GCTGAACAAGCCCAGCTCCCTCAGCCTCTCCTCGTAGTGGAGATGTTCCAGTCCCCTCACCATCCTTGTAGCCCTCCGCTGGACTCTCTCCAGTAGCTCTTCATCCTTCTTGAACTGGGGAGCCCAGAACTGGACACAGTACTCCAGATGAGGCCTCACCAGGGCAGTGTAGAGGGGAAGGAGAACCTCCCTTGTCCTGCTGGCCACACTCTTCTTGATGCACCCCAGGATTCCATTGGCTTTCTTGGCAGCCAGGGCACACTGCTGGCTCATGGTTAACCTGTCGTCCACCAGGACACCCAGGTCCCTCTCCACAGAGCTGCTCTCCAGCAGGTCCACCCCAAGCCTGTACTGGTGCATGAGGTTGTTCCTCCCCAGGTGCAGGACCCTGCATTTGCCTTTGTTGAACCTCATCAGGTTCCTCTCCCAACAATGCCCCCTATTAACCAGAGCCAGAACAGCTGCTGCTCCTCAGCCTAGGAGCATGCAGGTAAACACACACAGAAAACCCAACACTTCTACACCCAGCCTTCTTCACCTTTCGAATAAGAAGCTGGCATTACTTTTATTTCCTTGCCCCTTTGTGGTTGACTGTTCTGTAATGAGTACCTTCTGAAATGCCAGTCATTAATTACTATGCTTATCTCACATACAGCAGTTGTCTGCAGTCGCCACTATTGTTTCCAGCAGCTCAGGAAGGCTGCCAGACACCTCAGCATTCAGATTTTCAGTTGTCTTGTTTGGGACAGGGCAGGTGGCAACAGAGTTCTGACCATTAGCACCTGTACGGGGGCTGGGATTTCACACACACCTTACGGCATCTCTCGCCAAGGTCATCTCAAACCTTCATTGTTTTTCTGCTCCAGCACAGAGGAAGACTCCAAACGTCTTCAGCACAGATGTGTTACACATTACATTGCTAGTTAACTTTGACGAGCTGGACTGACACAGAACCAGTCATTACTTATAATGAAGAAAATGCTCTGCCCTGCCTGACATCAAGCCAGGCCCAGCAGATTACAAGAAATGCATTCTCCCATTGATAAACACCACATCCTTACCTCAGAGCTGTAAAACAAAAAAATTCTTCTGGTTAAGATAAACCATTCTGTATTACATGGACCAACCTGAGCCTGTGCAGTCAAAAGCTGCCTTGTTTCCTCTCCTGGTCTAGCGACACTCGTCTGTGTCCTGTCGCTGAGAAAACTTGTCTTGGATGCAGCCTCCCTTTATATTCTGGCTAGAGCAAAGATCCTTCCAGGAGTAAAACTGCTTTGAGAACAGAGAAAAGGGGAAACTACTCAACTATATTCCGAGACAGGAAAGGGAAGGAGGAGGAAAAAAAAAAAAAAGAAAAAAAAAAAGAAATTAAAAAAAGGGGAAGCCAGAATGGGTGATGGGGGAGGAGAAGAACGCTAGTCGCATTGCGAGTCAGCGGTGTTACATATGCAGTGGTTTTAGACTCATTCTGGCTTTGTCTTCCAATCTGTACCACTGAAGTACCAGCTAGGGTCCAGAAAGTTTCTTTGTGTAGTGGTCAAAAAGACTAAAAAGAGCGAAGGTCACAGGCATAGGTCTGTCCGGCTCCTTGCAGGGGACAACATGAGCCACAGAGCTAGAAGAAAGAGGCTCTTCAAATGGCTTTTCAGCTGTTAACATAACATCTCTATACAGCAAAGCAGGTGGCAGCAAGAACTCTCTCTTGGTTTAGAGTTCAGCTGAAAAGGATGATTTCTATAATGATGCCTCTAATTTTGGATGCCCTTAAGCTTCAAGCATAATTATGACAACTCAGTATTTTGAGGGAAAGGGAATCAAGTCTTGGCAAAGCAAGGAACATAACCCACGATTCCCAAATTACAGGCTGTGGCTCTAACAGTAATTAAAGGAGCAGCACAGCAAGCAGCATTGCCATGATGTTAAGCACCAACATCATACCTGTGACTGCCTCCCTGCCTTCCCACAGCCCTAGAACTGTAGCTGCAACAAGAATTCACTAACAGTCTGTTTTTAAAAAGTCTTGAGAACATACACACTCTGGTACCATGGCAGCATGACACATTTTCCCATTAGCTTCCCACTCTGCTCTTTGTTCTGCTTTCTAAGTTTCTGGAGAGTTGCTCCATGTTATCATTAGGAGTAGGGCAGAGATGCTCACAGATTCTTTAAGCCTGCACTTCTTGTTAAGCATTAAATTAGCTTTACACTAAAAAAAGATACAGTACCTCTATTAGCTATGCCTTTGCTGAAGGTAATCAGAATGTCTGCTAATCGACCAGTCTAGCCTCAGGAGTTTTTGTTCTATAGTAACAGACCAGTTTAATCCTGAAAAAGAACAAAGACAGCTGCTTCTTACAGTTATACAAAGTTTTTCCACAAGCGGGTAAGGTCACAAGGGCATCTCTCGAGCGGCATTCACAAAGCACAGCAATCGTGTAGAGCCCAGGTCACATTTACTACCAGTGCCTCGTGTAACAGCCCTGTGGTGAACAGCACACCGAACCGTGTGGCAGAGCTTCTCCCACATCTGAATTTCTTGGAAGAATGTTCTCTGTAGTGGCTTCTGGAAAACAGAGTACACTGCAAGAGGAAAGCCGTTTCAGAATAATTCCTTTTGCTCCATGATGTCTTGACACTCAGTTACAGCAACACTGGTACCCACTGTCCCCAGCTCTGCCTCAAGGGCCCTCGTAGAAGAGCTGCAGCTGACAGCGCCCTAAGCTCACCGCGACGCTCTCGGGAGGCTTAGCCAGTGCCGTGGAATGAAGCTTTCTGCAGCACTTTCCCACAACATTTTATCAGCTTTGACTCAGCTAGCTTTGCACCTCTCTAAGACAGAAATTGCTGTTTTGTGAATGAAGAAACAAGATTTTGTTAAGTGATTTGCTAATGTCTGTACGGGGCAGGCTGTGGAAGAATCAAGAAAGAATCCAAGCCTAATTCAATCCCGCAGTTTTAGCCACATGCATATTCATTTCCCACATTCTCCCTGGTTTTCATGAAGCTTGCAAACTTCATTTTTCTCATTAGCAATCACACTCATACACACATTATTAAAAGCACTATTTACCAGAAAAAAAACCACACAGAATGCATCAGTAATTTTAAAGTGAGAAAAATAAAACATCTGTATTTCAACAAATACTCAAGACTCATTTTGATACAAAATTAATCTGTTGCTTATTCAGCAGTATTCAGTCAGTTAGCCATCAAACAAAACCACTGTGACAGCACCAAAAAACCCACCCAATGAACAACATATTCTGAACATGGAAAAACACTCACATAAATAAGGGCTAACACAAAAAGGAAATAAATAACCATCACTGCTGGTTTCCCCAGACCTCCAGCAATCTTCCCCCTCGGAATCTATGCCAGGTGCTAGTTTGAAAGAGAACAGGATTGGTCTATGCCTGAAAGACTTCCCTCGAGCCACTTTGTTTCATGTTTGCAGCTTGTCTAGAGATGCAGACTTCGTTAGGCAACAGGAAAAACAGTCCAGCCATCTTCCTCTCTTCCCCAGGTCCATCTAGTCTGTTGGAAGTGTTAAAAGTGAACAGTGCAAAGAGTATCTCCAGCTGCCATGCAGGAAGGCAGACCTCATTCAAGTGACTCTGTAACAAAGCACAAACAACTCCTTTAGTCACAGCATTTTTATAGGGAAGCTACCCTTTTGGTTTCTAAAACCAATTTTAAAGAAAAAACCCAGTCAGTCTCCTCTGCCAACTATGCGAATCAAACACCACTCATGTTCATTTGGTTTATTTCACTAAAAGCCTCAACGTATATGAAGATATCACACACTTGCACCCTACAGAAGGTGTCCCGTTATACATGGAGAGAAATGAAGCCACATAGCAGGGAAACCCCACCCCCCCAGGTTGATTAAAGACCAAGTGTTAAAGAGAAACTCCAGTGAAGTACCCACCGGTCTTCAGCCCCACCTTCCCACCAGTTTTTAATACTGTTCTTCAATACTCCCGAGCCAGGCTACACAAGGCAAACCACACAAAGCGCTGCTGCTACCTGCCCAGGATCCAGAGGACTGCCTGACAGCCCTGAGCAAGGGCTGCGTACCACCAGCTTGCTGGAACCTGCAGCAAGCATTTACTTCAGCTTCTGCTGTTCAGCACTCTCACACACAAACCCTCTCTTCAGCCGCAGCTGCCCAGGCTTTCCTGTCCCACCAATTATGACCCTTTACTAACCTCATTTTAGCAGCGAAGCCTGTAGAGTGCTGCCAACTAGGTATAACACCGGTAGGCAGAAACACGGACTAAAAGGCTGCCAGATGTTTGAACTTCATGACTTTTGTATATAATTTAGGCAGACAACAACTTTCCCTCCCCCTGAAAGTCAAAGTATTAGCTTTAGTCTATGATTAATGGGTGAGTGTAGAACTCTGTGTCCTAAGGGAACAAAAGTCGAGATAATTTCAGTCCTTTCCTAGGGTCATGATTCATTGTCTAAGCTGTGTCACAGACAAATGTGTTTCAAGTTCTCTTCTCAGGCAAGAAATACAAGATTCACCAAGTAGCTACTAACACATTTCCTTCTTACATCCTCCTCCTTTTCCTGAAGCGGGCACTTCTCCTGATCTGAGGAGCACTGGCATCAGCCACATCAGTGCAGGAGGCCAAGACAGACTGCGCAGCACTCTCTTCGGCTCCGATGCCCTGCAACATAAGCAGAAGAGACTATCAACACCGTGAGAACTAGCAGAAGTGCAGAAGAACCCCTCCTGCCATCTTTCTGTTTTAGGGAGCTCAGCAAGCTTTCCACAACAATCTTCTATTTACCTTCAAAATTAAGCATGGGACACCAACACCATTACCAGTGTCACAGCAAGCACAAAACTTCCTAAAGTTTTCAGAGCGAAACCTTCAGCCAACACTGGCACTACTTCTGCTTCTGCTACCACTACCAGCCTACAGCAATTGCTGCTGTAGCTCCTGTCTGGGCACAACCGTTCGTTAGAGGTTGCAGGCCTGCCACAAGCGATGGTTTCGCTTTCACTGCTGGAGCCAGACAGTGCCCCAGACAACATGGGTCAACACAAACTCTTGATTTCTCATAAAACATACCCTTACCACAAACTTTTAACTGAAAAGCATCAGGAAAACAACCTGGCTACAGCGTTAATAAAAGGAGCGGGAAGGAGCCTGGTCAGAGACGACACAGGACAGAGGCTGGCAGTGAAGCTACCAGGCAGTGAAGAACTGCTGTAGACTTTTGGACCAACTGCTCACAGTTCAACCTACACCGAACTTAGCCCAGATCCAAAAGTCAGAGATAACAGAAAGATAACTGCTGGCTTTTACTATGGGAAAGCTCTGATTTTTAGGCGGCTTTGCCATCTTTCTGTAGAAACAGCCTTATTCATCTTCATTAGTGGTTTGTTTGCTTATTTCGGAGCCACAATGAATTGAAATGCAAGTCTGAGCTACACAGCTTCCTGGCATATTCTGTAGAAAACACTGCTGGGCAGTAACGGATTTAGCTTAAAAATCAGAGACTGATTTTAGATTCACATTACAGTTTACATCGATCCATATACTCTAATAATCTCTAGTCATATAAAACCACTCGTGACAAAGACCTCAAATGGCAATAGGAGCAAATGTACACAATTCCCCTGATATTTCTGGAGTTTAAAGGACACAGACAATGAAAAACAAGGGCCTGATTTCAAAAATACAGGAGTCAGTGAAGCAGATTATAAACTGTAAGAGGAAAGGAACTTTGATACCCACTTTTGGAAACTATCATGTCAAGTTTAACGTGCTACATAAAACACAGGCTTTTACTCTTGTGAGGGCTAAGGGCTCCAGCTGAGCGAGAGAGATTTTTTTTTTTTTTTATCAGCTGCAAAATTATGCTTATTCAAAAGGCCCACATTTCTGCTAAACTTCGGAACAGTGGGGGTTTCACCCTGGATTCCAGTGAGAGCAATATTTAGCCCACAGTAGCTTTCTGCTTTTGGTCCCTAACAACTCCATTTTACCTGATTTAGTAAATCAGGGTCTTTGTCTCCAGGCTCGTCACCACCCGTCCCATCCAGCCGTACACCTGCTAATTCATCCCCACAGCTCTCTTCCTCAGACACTTCCTTCTCACTCTGCCACTCCTCTTCATCACTCTCTTCATATTGCTTCCTGCTGGCTGACAGAGTAGTTGTCACTTTTGGAGGAGGCAGAGTTGCTAGTACAGCTGGGAGAGTAAAGGCTGCTAGGAACCTGGCTTTCAGTAGGAGGAAAGCAGGGTTATCGCCGAGTTTCTGCTGCACCAGTTCTGTGATAGCGTGCAAATCGACCCCAGTGCCCTCATCCTGATTGGCATCGGAAGGCAGAAGGCATGCCGCTTGCTCTTCTAGAGCTGCTTTCTGCAGAAGTAGCTCTGAGAGGGTTTTTAAGTTGCACAGAAAAGGTGGCAGATAAGGCAACCTGGTCTGCAGTGATGGTACCTGGACACCTTGTTTCCCACTAAGCCACTCCTTCACTACCCCCTCATCTTCAAGGGAAATCAGGCTAAAGTCAAGGAGATTCTTTTCTGCGCTGGAAGTGGTTGGCTGGGGTGGACTGTCAGCGGGCTGCACAGTCGGTGGTTTGGAGGCAATAGGTCTATTTTTCAATGACTGAGCTACGAAGCAGTCAGAGTTCCTTGGGACATCGTTATGAGGAACTGGACCTCTTGGCTGGAGAGCAATCTCTTTCGTGACGATGCCCGGACTGGAAGATGATCCGTTTGTTGTCATGGAGCCATGGCTCTTTTCCAAGCCAGCAAGACTCGACACACACTGGGCATCAGACCCTTGAGTGCTTGCAGGTAGCTGCGTTTGAGGCAGCAGCACAGCACGCAGGGCTGGTGCACCAGCTGGGAGAGCGGTCTGAGCCGCAGAGGAGTCAGAAGCCTTGGAGAAACCGTCTGAGCACGCAGGCGTTGCAGAAGACAGGCTGGAGGTGGTGCATCCGGGACTCGCTGAGGTCACAGGCAGAAGCATGGAATGGTTAGCTGCCTTTCCCAAAGGTACCCCTTCTGCTAACTGGGCGCTTGGTGCTTTTGCCTCTGCACCGCTGGGGCGAGGCGTATTTGCTCCAGCTGGTACAGGAGGCACTCCTAAGCCAGAGACATTGCCACCGGAAGTCACAGCTGTCTGACACTGGTTTCTCACAGCAGCAGCTGGCAGTCCTTGGGGAACACCCACCACAGTTTGTACAGCGGTGGGGAGCAAAGCCTGTGGCGTTACAACCCACGTGAAAGGCAGTATGCTGTTGGGAATCAAATGCGAACCAGTCTGCGGAGTTACAAGAGCAGGCAAGAGACTGACCGGCCTCTGCTGCGGCCCGTTACTGTTCAGCTCACAAGTAACTGGTGTGGAAAGAGACAAATTGTTGGTGCCAGACTCAATGCCAACAGGCACCACTGTAATTTGATGTGGCACAAAAGCTTGGTTTTGCAAAGCTACTGAAGCTGAGCTACCAGCTAGGACCTGACCATTGCACCCTCCCTGATCCGGGGCCTTCTCTGCTGCAGCTGGATTCACGCCTGGAAGAGCCCCTCCTTCACAGCTACTCTCCAAAGATTGCTCTTTTGCTTCCTTACTGGATTGTAGCTCTGTCCCTTGTGAGGAACCGGGGCTTTCCCCCGTTTCTGGCACTGACAAGGAATGGTTTTCAGGCACAACCATGGTGGAAGCTGAACCTGCAACAGAAGTAAACGCTGGCAACGGAGCTGGTGTGCTCTGTACTTGGCTGTTTGTGCAGTCAATTCCTGCAGGTTTGCTCCCTGCTTGTGTAGAAGGAATGATTTGCTGTGGGGGGTGCTGGATTATCAGAGGCCCTGAAACCAGCATGTGAGGGGCAACGAACACTGTCCTCTGCATAGCTTTCTTAGCTCGGGATTCTCTTAGCCGCTTCTCCCTCAGTAACTCTGAGACAGTTTTAGGCTTCTGCCTTTGCACTTGGGCTGGAAGAGCTCCCTGCATGGCAGGAGCACTGCTCTCGAAGGCGGCAGCAGAAGTCTCCCTTGCTTTTAAGGCAACAGGTCTCCTGACAGCACTCCTTGGTATGCCCCTTTGGGAGCTCCTCTGAGTACAAGATTGTGATGAATTGCCTATAGAGGAGGGCAAATAAAATATATTAAAAAAAAAATTGAACAGTATTTTCAAAATCCATTCCTTAGCTACTAAGCATCAAGTACCCTGCACAGGAAGTAGCAAAATTCCTGTTTGTGAGAGCTTCTACAACACTATAGTCTTGATTTTATCAAGCCCCATCCTGACATCCTTCAGATAACTCTGATGCAGCAAGCTTACCACTTGTTCAGTAACGATGTGATTTTCCCCAGAAATCAGATGGGCTAGGAACGCACCTTAACACCACACACGAGGAACTGCACTGGTCAGCGCTACACCAGCACTTCGCACCCAGCCGGGATGACAACCACCCAGGGTTTTGGTCAGTGCCAGCGGTCCCCCAGCCCTTCGGTATTCTTTCAAGTCCTTACCAAAAGGTAACATATTTAGCCAATAGCTGAAAATCCAAGAGCTAGCAAAAATGAGCATGATAATGTAGTTTTGTTCCAAAAGTTCTCCTTCAGTTACATTGGTCACTAATGTAACGGTGATGAACTAAGTGAAGGTTCTTGTACATCATAAAAATAAATGTTCTGGTAGGTACCTGAAGAAGTCTCCATATTTTGGGAAGCCTGCCAAAAAAATTATATTAAATTATACTTCTGAGATATCTAAAGATCATTTAAACAGCACAGATGTGAATCAAACCCACATCTGCCAACATCCTGTGCATTTTATTACGCTTCTGAACCAAACTGGTAATGCACACACACAAACAGCACCACTGGCCACACATAATGAAAAATCTCTACTTTACTTAAGGCTTCAGTGGGAAAAGCTTAGAAACTGTGCAATACCTGCTGAGGCCTTCTTGCATTAGCCCTAAGAAGCTCTGACTGCCTTAGCCTTCTCTCACGAATAATCTTCATGCAGCCATTGGTATCAATCTGAAAGAGCTGCAAGATGAGAATTTCATTAACATTTGACTGAGAACAAAAATGTTCTGGTAGAGCCAGTGACAAAACAAGATGGATGGGAGAGGCTTCACATGCAATATTCTGGGGACATTTTTACACTTACAGAAAAAAACCTCACAGCATCGTATTTCAGATGCAGGTTTTATTTAAGACACATCACACGCAAGCCATAAGGTCAGATTAATCCAGTAACTAGATGATTAGTTTAAGGAACAAAAATAAACCATTTATTTAAGCATCAAATACAGAAATAAAGATTACCACTGTTTGAAAGCAGATAATACTACTAAGACAGTAAAACCTACCTGAATTAAAAGCGTGAACAGGGGAGTGCTCGTGAGACTGATTGACTTAATCTTCTCTTTAATAGAATCAGCTAGAAAAAAAGTCCAACATCAAAATCATTCACTTACAAGACGTCAGAAAGAAGCGACAAAACGCAGGAGAGTACTATCCCTGAGGGGTGACCGCTACCTTCTGTGTGATGAAAGGCCATCTTCCCAGTTTGCAAGGCGCAAGGCAGTAGTACATTGCCCACCCAAGGTGTCACGGCCATCAGCAGCTTTCTGTCAAGGTTCATTCTTCTCAAACGCTCTCTCTCCTGACGGTAAGTTTTCTCTGAGATGTTCTGCAGCCCCTGAAGCTTCTGGCCAGCAGAAGTACTAACTCCAGGTATTTTTGTTACAACAGTGGCAGAAGGTTTTAGTATCTTTGATTGCTGTGCATGAACAAATACATAATTAGAGTTCCAATTAGTAAGGTTCTACCATAATTAGTCCCAGGACAAACTATTCACAGGGCAGTCAGGGGAAGAAAACCAAACCAAACCAAACCTTATGAGCTTTTTGTCTTGAGACTACAGCGCAAGAAGATTTGTGACTATCAAAAAACATTTCTCACTAAATACAGCCTGACAGCGCTCACGTCACGAGAGCAAACAAGACAGAAGAGGCACTTACAAGTCTCCTCTGAAAGCACGTGTTATTTCTCAGTACTCTTCTCACATCCTCCAGACTAACCCGTAGCACTTGCTTTCCACATCTGGAAGCCTTAAAAGAAAAGCATACAAGAAAAGATAAAAGGGAAAGTATCTCACAGAAAATGACTTGCACTGACTATACACAGAAGGTACAAGAATTTTCAACACTCCTGCTGTTGGAAGTACCTTATTAAATTAAATCAGCCCTGAAGTGGAGATGCTAACCTTACCTTTCAGTCCTTGTGCACTATCACAATACCAAATCTCTACTTCGTAAAAGCCTTTGTGTGAAGTATCTACAAAAATCCACACTGAGGGTCCAAATTTTTTGCATGACTCTGCATTTTTTGGCTTAACAGTACAAGGGAAGGGACAGGAAGAGGTTTGGAAAAGCCACTGACTCTTCCCTGAACTTCTACTAGTAAAATAATGCTCTATCTGTAATCATAATTAAAGCACTTGCAACCCTTGCATACCAGAACCCCCAGAACACACCACTTCTGTAACCAACAAACCGGTCACCAGTGCAGCTGGCCCCACAGTCTAAGGCACACGTGCAATTCTTAACACAAAAGTCAGAACATTTTTGCTTACAAGAACTTAAATAGCAATTTTAACATTTAATATTTTGCTAAGGAGGCTCTTTCTGCAAAAATGTACTAGGAGAGTTTGTACTGTTTCCATGCCTGATTCGCGGCGAAAACCCAACTCAGAATCAGGTACAGATGTGTAACTGAACTCTCCAAAACTTTAAGTCTATACGTCCTGGCCAGGTGTAGAAAGACACCACGATTCACCGGACAATTCTGCTTTATGAAGATATAAAAGAAGTTTTGTTTCTGTGACACTACGGATAGGAAAGAACACAGTTATTTTCTAGGCAATGCATGGGGAAGCAGCGCTAGAAATTTCTGTTTAATCCCGCAGCTCGGTCTCCAACAGCACCCCCCAGCGGCACAGTGAGAAGGCAGCCAAGGGAGGCGTGAAAAACATTTTGCTATCTGATCCATTTGCCTCTGATCCAAGCTCCAAACCCACCAAGAACAGACTGAGAATCCCAGGATTCACCTTGTTCATTACTTCTTGTGGATTCTTCACAATGATGTCCGTTGAATGTGGACGTGCAATACCCCTCAGGAGGGTGTTCAACTCTGACGATTTATCGGCAACTCTGTCCTTCTCTCCATCACACGTTGTGCTTGGATCTTCACTGCTACCAGTCCTTGCATCAGCACTCTCAGGAGAGAAAAGGGATGGAGTTTGGTATCTTCCTTTGCTTGACTCCGGCGTAGTTGTGCGTGTCGGTATCCACAAATCAATGCTGGGAAATGCACACTCCTCCTTGCTTGTCGCCTCCTCCTTGCTTGTCGCCTCCTCCTCTGAACTGTCTGGTAAGTCCAGTTCTATGTCCTCACTGCTGCTCTCTGAAGAGGTGGAACTCTCTTCCACGTGTCGGCGTTTTGTTGGCCTAGATCTTTTCTTCTCAGTCAAAAAAAGCACAGACAAGTTTCAGCCAGTATTCACCCTTGACTTGCAAATCTCTCAAATCAGCAAGTTAAAAGGTTTCATGGGGCAGTATCCTATCAGTAAGGCGTGGCTTCCATATGGACAGTTTTGCTTTAATTCTGCCAAGATTAACTAAATCCAGTATAATTGACAATTGCCTTTGGATACAGATTTGTATTGGTTTAGATTCCTGTATGCAAAGAAAAAGCTACAGAAAGAGAAAAGTTTGTGTTACAAACTGGTGCATGGGGCAGTACAAACTAAGCACAGCTGCCCCATCTCGACACATTTGGGTTTCCATGAACCCCCTCCTAGGGCAGGTGCTTTGCTGATGGAAACAAGACTGTCTTTAACATGGTCTTAAGTAGCCAGAATGTCTGGAGTGCCTGGCACCAAAGCTGGCAACTCATGAGTTACATACACGAACACCTAGGTACATCCTATCCTTACAGACACTTGAAGGCAATAAAGAAATTCTGGATAATACACAAATACAGAGCAAATTACCTTCAGACCTTCAGAGCAAAGGTTGTTTTAACACATCAAAAAAATGAGGCCATGAACACCCATGATAATCTTGATTGTGTGATATCAATGGCAATTTTTGTATTGATTTCACAGGATTTTGCTTTTGGTTTAGAGAATCTTAATTAAAGAGATGGGGCTGCAACACAGCAGCATTTTCTACAATACCTTAGACCCAATCATGAGTTTCCACTTGCTCAGACACTGGGAGCCAGTCCGATGAGGCAACTCGGAAGCTACTTTACTCCAGCGACCTAAAAAGGATGCAGAGTAGAGTGTACCTATGAATGCAACGCACCCAGCAACAGGCCTTTTCAGTGCAGAACATTATACACATATTGTACCTTTCCTTGTATAAGAGACAGAGTTACTATATGAATGGATCTCAAAACCTTAACACCCATTTGTGTTCTTTGATCAGACTCTGCACTGCTATACACGCAGCTAAAGTTAGAAACTACCAGAAAATGAACCAAGAACGAAAACCCTAGCAGAACTACACACTCCCTTGCACCAGCAAGGGATTGCTTAGAAGAAAGCTTAAGCTGAGTGCTGAAAAGATTCTACTTGTTAAGGAAAAGTTGTCTTAGAGGAAATAACAGACTTTCACAGGCTGTTCAGAGGGGAACTCACCCCTCTACACTATCAGAGCTCGGATACCTTGCTGACACAGCTATCAAACGCCTTACTACTCAATCCCTCAGTAACTGAATTTCCAGGGAACAGGCTGCACAATATAAGGAAGGCTGCAATCATCAGTACAGAGCAGAGCCTGCTACTATCAGCTGCAGGGCTTAAAATAAGAGAGAAGAAAACGGAAATGATAAACTCCTTAATAATACACACTTCTTTAAGCTTCCAACGATTCAGCCACAGGAACACTTACCCAGGCCATGCTTTTGAACCAGTTCAATCAGCTGCTCCTCTTCCTCTAAACTCCACTTGCCTTTCTTTACATCACAGTGCAATGCTTTCAAGTACCTTCAAAATGAAAACATTAAGTAAGGAACATTCAATCCTGCTTGTACAGTTTGGATCATCACTGCATACTCTAAGATGGAACAAAGCCAGCATTCCTTATCAGATCTTCCCTTTTTCTAAGGGGTCCCATCCCTACTCCCTTAATGCAGCACACCTACTACCTCTTTGTTCTCAAAAATACCAGGCCATGTGATTAAGAATTACAACAAGCAGTTGTAGAACGGGTCACTGAAATTAGGACTTGCTGTACTCTGAGTCTCCTGAAGCTGGGTCTGAGGAGGAGGTCACTGACCAGATCACCTTCACAGATACACAGCTAAAACACGGATGACAACCTCCCCCCCTACACGCTCTCATTCACCTTTAATGACCCCTTTGCTTTATTTTGAACTGCATCCTTCACAACTTCTGCTAACCTACAGGCAACTGTACTGAGGTAGTAGCACGCCACGGGCAACAATGCACTGCCCTCTCCGTTAAACTCAATGCCAACTTGTTGACTTGTGTAACTACAAATGCCGGGTTACTTGGAGACAATGTTAGAGACTGTATTTAGACCATAACCACTTCCCCAAAACAGCCCTTAAGGTGACACTGGTTTAAGCAAATCAAACATATTTGTAAAATAAGTTGCACCTTGGCTCTGTGTAATAAACCTGAAAGCACAGTTGCTACATTTAGCGTACCTACCGATCTCTGCACTGAGCATCACTCCTCCCTGGCACTTCTGTCCGAATTTTATACCAGTCACGCTCTCCATACTTCTTAACTGCAGCCAATAGCATCTATGTTAATCAGACAAAGCAAGAGCTGAAATTCCCACCGGTAACAATCCTAAAAGGCCCGAGACAGAAGCAGTTGTATTTGTTTCCACTGTGTTGTACATCTCTGAGCAGAAGTGCTTGGGAGCTTCTAAGCCCTCATGACTTGTGAACTGCCCACCTTGGTCTGTTTTACATTCCTTTGGGCCGCGGTTATATCTCATGGGTATGCAGCCATGCAACATCTCAAGAGCCTAACCTTCCCACTTTGGCACCCTACAATTCTAGACATCAGAGAAGGGAGCTTACAGCATCTTCCTCTGGTGTCCAGGGTCCTTTCTTCAAACTGGGGTCCACGCTCTTGGTCCATCGGTAGATCAGCTGAGCAGAATCTCTTCCTTCCATGTAATAAGCAACTAAAAACACAAAGGTGTATTTTAAAGTCTGTTGTAAATAATGTTTCTTCCTTTACTTACACCGTAACTCAGATATTTTCAAGCAGTGGATTGCCATAAGCACCATTTTAATCTCAGCTTAAACACTGAAACAATGGTACGCCACAAGAACTGAAGGAGTACGGCCTACCCAGCACGTTACTATTTCTAACGGCACTATCCATACCCGACACATGATGACCCAACAATCCACCTTGCTCCAGCAGAGAACTAGGCAAGGTTCCCACTCCAGCACATATCCGACAGGTTCAAGACACCAGGTGCTACACTCGCAAGCTTGGATTTAGGACCCCAGGTACTCAGTTGCTATTCTCAGCTCTAGCCCTCCCGAGCCGTACTGCGTCCTGCACTGCTGAGGAACAGAAGCAGCAGTGCCAACCCCCTCGAAAAGGCTTCTGGGCACAGCACTGAAAACTGCCAAAACAGCTGGCCACATACGAATATTGCCTTTCTAGGGAAGAACTCTGATGGTTTTTCTACAAAAAACAAAGCTCACACAACCATCAGCACTCATTAATAACTCTCAGCCAGTTTCAACCAGATTTCAAAGATGGACAGAGGTTCCAAGAGACACTAAGTTCTTGCTGATATAATGAAACTTCCAGGCAGGTACAGGAAGGGCATATATCACTGCTCCCACCACAGGAAAAGAGAGGGAAAACTCAGCCATCCTCTTCCATTCCTCTCACCAATGGGGCATTTTTAGAAATCAGTACATCCGTAGTTTCAGATGAGCCACAGCACAACAGTGCCTTGCCTCAATCACAGACTAGAAATGTGATGTGAACACACAGAACTGTGACTATCCTGGAAATAGAAACATTCATAGGAAATAAAACTTCATTAATTCCTTGAACCAGAGCAGGCTGCGTGCTCTAGTACGCAGAAACACTAACAGACACAAGCCTGGGAGAACGAACAAAAAAAACCACAGGTGAATGGAAGGCATTTTCACTTGCAGGTCACTTACTTTTCTTGTACGGGATATGACTTCCTACTCTCATCTCTTGAACAAGCTCTAAAAGCATCTGATCTTCATCTTTGGTCCATTCTTTCCTTTTCAAATCTTTGTTATAGATTTGATATTTCTGCAAGCACTGGAAAGGTGTCCTGTTTGTCTTAATACAAGGAAAAAGAGATACGCATGTAACTGGTTATTTGTGAAGACAAAAGGCAAGAGGGGAAGACTAAAGTACCAAACATTTCGGTACTGTTCTTGAACGCGTCTCAGAAGAGCATTAATGAACAATGAATTAACATTAACATCGTTTTCTGAAAATTGACATGAGGCACAGTTAAGCCAGAATTAACTGACTTGTCACCTCTCGCTTCTGAGCTCAGCAGAACTTACCCCCAGCTCCTGGGCTATACTCTGCCAGTCCAGATAACCATGTTCAGCAGCTATCTTCTTGAGCCTCTCTATTTCCTCCTCAGTCCACTCCTTTTTGTTGATGCTTGGATGCTCCCAATTTTGCCAAAACTTCCTCAGTTCTTCTGAACTACGTTGTCCATCAAACTAAAAGAAACAGCAAAAATCTGTTTTGTCTTGTAGCTGGGACTGACAGGAACACCGATACAAGGACTATATTTTGCATTCCAGACACGTCTCATTGCTAAGTTTTCCAGAACTAAATAATAAAATTTAACAAGTTGAGATCACCTAACAGTCAACTTCAAGAAATGCATGATGGGAACAGAGGATGCAAACTAGACCAGGTCAGGTAATTCTCAAGAGAAGGGACACAGATATCAGAAGAAATAAAACCACTTATCTCCCAACTTACGTGGATGTTTGAAATTTTCTCCCAGTCATGCTCATCGAATCTGGTGCCTAACAAGTCACTTTCTGGGAGTTGGCTAAAGCAGAAGGTGAAAAGAAAGAACCGCATTGAATTGCTAATTAAACAGTCACTTTGTCTTCCTGATCTTGCTTCCTCTTACTCCTCCCACCCGTTACTGACTTCCACAAGACCTGAACACCTACTATCTCAAAGCACTGGGCTCTTCAGCACAGTAACTTTGCCAAAACAATGTTTCTTCTTGATAAACAGTCCCCTGCAAGGCGATGTTGGTTTAGCAGGAGAAACCATTAATGCAGTATCAAAATAAATTGCTCCAGACATGTTAATGAGCAAAAGCTCAGCTGTACTGAGCTCTCTGCTTCCTTGTTGCTAAATCAAGAACTATTTGAAATAGCACCTCTGCACTGGCTATAGATACTACATTTGTATATCAAGACCCAAAACACAATTCTTAGTGAAGAACTGTGGCAACAAGAGCTCTACAGAGTTTGAATAGCCCTTAATTTTTTGCAAACCAACACAAATAAAGTTTTTTCCACATGTCATATCTAGAAGTACTCCAGGAAGGAGGGAACTTTAAGAGGTAAACTCCAAGAACAGACTTGCATTTTCAATAAGAACATAAAAAGACAACTTCTCACTTAATTGCCTCTATTTCTTGCTCCACTTCTTTGATTTGCTTTTCCAAGATCTGTTTCTCCATTTCAGTCTTGACTTTTTCCAGTTTCTGATTCCAATAACTCATCCTGTTCAAAGACATTTTTATCATTACTTAATATGACCAGATGGGGCGAGGCCAATGGCATCAGAAGACGTATGGCAAAGGTGGTTTCCCCATCAGCATCATTCTTTTCTTCATTTCTACACTACACAAAACTGTTGTTCTTCTAGGTTTTCCCCACACGGCACACTTGTCATCCTATTTTTGCCCCTCGAGTGCAAATCATTGACCTAAAACAGGTCTCAGATTAACCATCTTGGCATGTACAGAGAGAACCAATGGTTGCTGCAACAGCAACAAAGACAGACTGTACCAGCTCCAGGCACAGAAATCTCTCCTGGACACACCATTATGACTCGCTACATACCACAATTTCAGCTTCAAGCCCTGTAGACTATTTTAAGTTACACCACTGTGTCAATGGAAGAAATGGATGGCTACAGAATGCCGTAATACAAGACAATGCAAGATGCTTTCCACCTGCCAGACAGCCACAAAACAATCGTCAAGCGTTTGCAACCCAACTCAAATGCTGTAACCTCTTCCTTACGGTCACAACACTGCAGTCCAAGACCCCTGGGTACCACGTGCATGCACAAATCACACAGATGTCAACAACGCAAGATGCTGCTACCTACAACAGTGTCACCCTCTGCACGGGTGCCCACAGGACAGGGCAGTTTGAGGACCACTGCTGTAATCCACAGAGCAGCTCTCCCAGGCCCAGCGGTGACATTCAAAGTCTCTCTACTGTGTTTTGTAACCTTACCAAATTGCAAACAGTTAACGTGAGAGCATGCTGAAGCAAGGCAGAACCTCCACGTGTATCCTCTCCTTCCTTTGTACATAACGTTCTCATCAGGAGAAAGAAGATTTTTGCACAGTACTTACTTCAGTAACTTCGGCTGAAGCAGGCGCTGCAAGCGGTCACTCACTACTGATTTCTGCAATAACGTCTTCTCTCTGCTTTTCCCTAAACCAAACAAGGCAATGGGGCGTTCAGACACCAGTGCAAAACTACTGCCGAGAAAAACAGAAACCCACTGCTTTCAATATCCCTGCTAAAGTATCCCCCAGGACTTCAGTAAGAGTTCCCCACCTAAATCACCTGTGTCATGTCTGACTCGGGCAAGTCACAGCCTCTTGCTCAGCTTTAGTTCCAAAGAGGCCTCAATAAAGATCATCACCGCGGTGTTTGTAACCGTCTAGAGCTGTAAGTGTCCCTTGAATTCCTCTCATCCGAGCACTACCCTTGCACGATCTCATTTGGTTTTGGAGTGCTCACATGAGTTGATGCATCAGAACAAATGCAAACGACAGGAGGGAGTCATTAATCACCACTGAAACAATTTATAGAGCATCCCATTTACTTTTCACTACTTTTTTTGTTGAGTCAAGTATAAAATACCAGAAGTGTTGACATTTAACTGCAAATGGGGGGGGACTAACAATACGAAAATATACATTTGTTATAGCTCTTATGGAACACTGAACAGCACATAGACTTACATTTTGTTGAAAGCAGTTGTTCAAAGGATTTTATGCCCTGAGCTGCCTTTTCCTTGGCATCTTCATTGGCAGGAGGGCCCTGATGAAGATTAGCAGAGTCAGATACACATTAAAAACGCCTTTTCTTCTTAGAACTCTAGCATGAACGGCTACAAAAAAGACTGGTATTTCAAACTTGTGCAGACTGTCACATTCAAACTGCTAAGTTACCTTTATTAGCACTAGCTCACAGATACCCCAGAAGACGTAAGAAAACAAATACAAACAGATACTTCAAGCAAATAATTTGTCCATGGTTACACAGCACGTTCTCAGCTGAGAGCCAGGCCGGTTCATCGCAGCTGACAGTTGGCTGAAGAACCATTTTTGACATGGGGACAAGTATTACTTAAGATGCGCTACCAACTTGGGTAGGATTTAACAGAAAAATTACCAGACACTGCTTGAATATTATATTAATATATGCATGGTGACAGCTAGCATCTTAGCTACAACAAAAAGTCAAGATCTCCTTTTGCTAGCAACCCTTTAAAAACACATGAAAAAAAGTAGTGACGTTTGCCACAGAAAACTCAGTTTCACAGGCAATCAGATTTCACCACATGCTTCAAACAACAGCATGGAATTGGATCGTGGAGACGAAGACAAACAATCAAAGTTAAGTTCAAAACAAAAATGTTCAAGTGCTCCATGGCTGGAATGCCGCTCCTCAGAACCCACTTTCAGACGTCACAGCCAGACATGGGTTGAATAAACATTTCCAAAAAAGGGTAAGCAAGCAACAAGTGAGGAAATAAAGCTTTCAGAGGAGTGACATTCACAGTCACACAGCTGAAACGTAACACAGTTACAATTTAAATCTATCACTGAAACACATATCAATAGGTAACCTAGTTATGTTTACTTACAATTCCTGTTGTTTTATCCTTAAAGTATGGCTTCATAAAATGACCCAAAAATATATTTGCTGGTAGATTTCTACCATCTCCTGCCTTTGCTATTTTTGCACCACCAAGCTCGCATGTGATTTCTTTCTGCAATACAAGCATTAATCAAATAGTATTAGTGTCTCCTTCAAAATCCTACTTTCAGAGAGCAGTGGCTAACCCATCACAAACATCCCAGGCAGGGTTCAAATTTGCAGCACCAGACAGTAAATCGGTGTACGACAGAATTTGGAACTTTCTAACTTTGTATAGTAACCTCCAGATGATTAAAAAAACCACCTAACTTGCCACAAGCTAAAATGCAAGATATAAAATACCCTCGCCGTAGCATTTTTGGTGATCAGAAAGCATGGGAACATCAGTAAACAAGCCATTCGAAAGGCCAGTCAAGTGACGTTGGGTTGAACTGCCATGAAGAAAATTAACCTGGTTCCTGGCCTGGATTAGGAATGTCCAGGTAAGTTTTACTGGGCTTGATGGGTGGGGGAAGATGGCAAATGGCAACCCAGAAAAGCACATTTTACTCCAGTTTCGCTCACCTGCTGTTCTCTGTTTTGTGCAATGAGAAGCTCTACTTCCTCAATCTTTTCCTGGATAACTTCCTGGTACACATGGTTCATCTGCAGACATGTTTCTGGATCCTGTGGCAGACTACTTTCAATATCGTCATCGCTACTGTCGTCTTCTCTTTCCGTTTCCTTGAAGCAAATAAGGCATTTAAGGGGAGGGAAGGCAGAGAAAAATGCATGCTTTAAAAGCAGGTACGTATCATAATTATTTTTGCAACTAAGTGATTCTATTATGTTACAAAACTGGTTTTCAAAAGAATCGGAGGCACCTAGCTGTTTGTCTGTCCCTGGCAGTTGTTCTGAACGCTCCCAGAGGCAGAGTTAGCGGTCTCACCTGGCTCCCCTTCGCCCTCTTCGTCAGCTCAGCCTGCTGCCATTGGAACCAAAGCCTGACCCCGAACCCTGCCAACACCTGGTCTGGTGCCATCAGCTGCAAAACTGAAGTAAACTACAAAACAGTACTCTACACTGGAGCTCTCTTACCTGCTACATCTGTACCTCAGAACCACCCCTTCAAATTTCCACCTCATTTGTGCTTCTGCTGAAGCAATTCTTCCCCCATGTGATTTATCCCCACACGCTTCGGACACAAAGTGGAGCTGACTGTTCCATGAAAGTGCTCTGCAGCTGGGTCTCCACAAGCTAGCTTCTCCTCCCCTGTGCTGCGCAGGTGTTACAATATTTCTCTACTAAGTGTTTTTATCAAAAGTTTGAGAAAATATGAAGTTTAAAACACCACCAAAGGTAAACAGATCTGTAAAATGTCTTAGAAGTTGTTTTCCCCTCACGTACAAATCCAGTATTCTTCAGGCACAAAGGAGTAAAAGATTTCTCGACCACAAGCTGATGATTTCTTTCTGACATACCACTGCTCTGCGACCTCCCCAGAAGGTGCTGTGTTTCCAGTGACAGAGATCAGCACGCACTACGGCAGTGAGGCCTCCGATCTCCCTCATTTGTTGTCACATGAAGAAGTCTCTCTATTACACGCGAATAACGAAGTCCCGGGCAGGAATAACTAAACCTCCAGGTCTATTATTAGTCCTTCCCAAGCTAAGGAGTCGAGCCAGCTGCCTAGATTTCCCCAGAACAGAGTGAAATTCCCCTTCCTCCTGCTCCCTTCAACAGAGCGATGGAAAGACATGCTTAAGGAGAAAACGGTTACCATTTCAGCGTGAGAGTCTGAGTCATCATCCTCACCATCATCTGTCAGACAACAAAAATACAAAAACGCTGAGTGCAGTGCGGTAGGAAAAGGAAAGCTTCAGAACCGCAGAGTTTTCAATGAAAGCACACAGAACTCAGCACCCCACAGCAGCTCAGACCCGCCCGGCGGAGGTTCTGGACGCTGCCAGCATCGCCAGGTGCAAATGGCATTCAGTGACACCCCACGCGCGCACTGTTTTGCTCGAGAGCAGGAAAACCGAGCAGCTCTCCAGCAACAGC